CAATTCTTCAATGATCCTCTCTGTGTTTTCTGTTTTCTCCCCCTGTTCTGGAACTCTGATCACTCACAGATTTTTGGTTTTGATTGTATCTCACGTAGTTCTCAGGCTGTCTTCATTTTTCTTCATTCTTTTTTTCTAAGTTTTCCTGAAACAGAGTTGTATCCAAGTGTTTGTCTTCAATTTCGCTGATCCTATCTTCCACCACTTCAAACCTGCTCCTCAGCCCTTCTGTGATGTCCATTTCTGAAATCTTGTTGTTTATCTTTTTGATTTCTAATTGTTGTTTTTGTATGATTTCTAGTTGTGAATTTATTTTAGCATTTTGTTCCTGTATTATTTTTCTGAATTCTTCCATTTTTTTGTCTGTATTTTCCATGAATTTTTCTGCCTTTTCCATGAATTTGTCTATTTTTCCTCATTTTTGTCTGTTTTTTTGCTTCAACTCTTGGAAAATTCTGAATGTTAGAGATTTGAATTCGCTATCAATTAGGTCTAGTGTTTTTCTACTACTGGATGGTCAGCTGGTGTTTTATTTTGGAAGCCTACTGGAACCATCCTATCTTGTTTTGATATTGTAAATGTTTTGATATTGTCTGCTGTCTTCAGGGCATTCAATGTTTATTTTCCTCATTTGTTTCATCATGCTTTTTGTTTTATTTGGTTATGTCTGAGCAGATGGGCTGTGCATTCTCTGTTGTTTGCTTTTCTGTGGGCACGATACTTTTCACCTCCTTCCCAATGGTCAGGGTCAGTCACTCAGGTATGGTACAGCAGGGCAGATCCAGCTGAAGGGTAGTTGCTGGGATAGGTTTTTTGCAGCACTTACCAGGGCTGACAGGGCAGACTGGGAATCAGTGCAGGGCAGGTTCCGGTAGGCCGTGCCTGTGCTGCTTGGGAGTGTGATGTTCAGCACACGGTGGAGTTAGGCAGGAAGGAGGGGGTAGATTTTTATGTGTGGAGCTAAGATGGGTATGGGAAAGAGGAGAGAGAGGAGAGAGGAACAGGATCCAAAAACATACATACAAACAAAAAAGAGTACTAAAGGAGCTTGCTATTGGAGTGGAGAGATGAGAGACTGAGAAATGGGGGAAAACAAAAATTTAAAAAAGGGTAAAAGAAAAAAATGAATAAATCGAGAAAATGGAAATGAAGAAAGACAAAAGGGGAATAAGAGAGAGAAGAAAACTAAATAAAGAAATAAAAAAAAAAGCAAGAAAAAAGAATTGCCCCCAGAGATGTCCCTGTGCATCTGTGCAGAGTAAGGGACTAGCTTCCAATCCACGTGGTACTGCCTGGCTAGAAGGGGCTCCCAAGCTGAGAAAAGAAAAAGAAAACAAACAAAACCAAACAGACCAAATCAGAGCAAACAAACAAAAAAGACCTGGGGATCCCACCAGCGTGGCAGCACAGGCCAGGAACCAGTTTCACAGTTGAGTGGTGTTTCGCAGCCTTTCAGGAAGAAGCATAGCTGGCACATGCAGCCAGGTATTTGAGAGAAAGGAGGGGGAGGTGGTGAGAGGTAAGTAAGAAATCTAAAGAAGCAGAAAAAAGCAACACCAGCAGCCAACAAATGGCACTCAGGGAGCAGGCCAGTGTGGGCAGATGGAATCCAAGTGGCACTGGGGTGAAGCTTGTGCTTTCTGGCCAAGAGACTGTGGTGGCAGGAAGCAGAGGAGGCCAAGTGGGGGTGAAGAAGG